CCCATGCTCAACATCCAAGGCTGTTTGTTGTGGTAATGGTCTACGATTGCGCAAGCTATCGGAAGTGCTGAGTCTCTCACAGGCCCAATCAAACGAGCCAGCTCGGAAAGACCACGGACTGCCGCTCCTGATGGCGATAGGAAGATCATTTGTGCGTCGACCCAAGATACCAGACGAGCATCTCCCGATATAATGGCCAAAATATCGACGACGGCGACGTTGCTACCATCTAGAGGTACCGTATATGCTACCATCAACAGACGCCTGTGGGATGCTGGGCTTTATGGAATGGGACTTGTTAGAAAGTATCTAGATCTCTAAAAGCTGACGAATTCGACTTCAATAGGTGCGTGAGCACCTTTACTGGACCTTTGACCAACGACGCAAGTTGTGTAGAGTCGACTAGTCAAAGATTGGTTTGCTCGGTAGAGTTGGGATTTGTTCGTAGACGACGTCGTTCCCAAGTAAAAATTGACAAGGCATGGTGTCGGCTCAGTATTGGTTTGAGGATCCCTCCGAGTCTAGGCATGGGGTTCCTGCACCCACCACTATGGGCCAGCAGATGTACGCAGACATTTTGAAGAAATGAATACCACAGATCTGCAAGGGGGCGCGAGCGGCTGACTCTTCGGAAACTGACCCATGCACTGGCTGCTTTCATAGTCCGCCGGCCAGCCGGCACGAAGGCAGCCACTCCCCCGACCTAAACATCATTGAACCCTCGGGGCAGGAACTCAAGAAAAGGATAGCCGGTAAAACAATCACAAATTCTGCTCAGAGTCAGTTTGAAGAAGACTGGAAGAAAATTGGTGAGCGCCTGATCGACAAGTTGGTTGAATCAATGTCCCGCAGATGCTAAGCCGTCATCGATGCCAACGGCTTCGCTACAAAGTATTAGACAAGTAGTTAGTTGGGTTTTATCTCATGATGATAGCGATCAAGTCAGGTGATTTACTCTAAATTTTTGAACTGATGTTATTTTGTCCTGTTTAGGGAAATTGAAAAGTGGTCTTTTATGACGAATTAAAAAAGGAGTGTCGTGAGCCGTAAGATGGGGAGCATTGAAAATCATTACTGTTGACGACGTATCAAAAAATCTGTCAAAAATATTGAATTCGATCAACATTATGAAGCTTTCTAATCTAAATCTCATGGAAAATCTGCTGTTGACAGGATTAGGATGACTGCAGCCGGTTTTTAAAGTAAGAGCGCAAAAAATTCCGGTCATGAAGGGGTGGAAAAGTGTAAAACTGGAGTTCTCCAGAAGCAATTACCGACACGTTACAACGACTCATGAGCTGACTTCCAACGGAAGGACATTGGTTCTCACTGGAGTATCTTGTTGAAGCTTTAATTAAGCAATTTAACAGCAGGTGAGCATGAATTGGTCAAAATGTCGTTGCCTGAGATTTGGACGCATAGCACTGAAATAAACTGTACTATAGTGAGCAGTTGTGCTGCCTGTACTACTAACGAAATTCCCTGCTTTCGTCTCACAGAATCTTTGCAATACAGACACACAGTTGGCAGAGTTTTTCTGGTTCTCTGTGATTCCTCTTTCTCAATCCTTCATTGCTCATTCGTATTCTTCCTTGATTTTTCCTCCCAACGGACTTTGCCCTTCGTCTGGTATTAGGCTCCGGTTTTTGTCCACTGTGTCTATTGTCTTGTTACTATGAAGTCACCTTCCGGTTGACTGCTCTGCTGGTCAGATCAAGTGAAGAGTGGTACAATAAATAGAAATGTTTGACTAAATAAATAAATGGTTTCATGTTAGTTTCTGTGACTTTTGGAAATAGTGTTGCACCAGACCCAGCCCAAGTACAACATACTATTCATCATGATGCATGTCTCTGTCACTGTGGTTAGGCGTGCCCACTACTACACATCGATCATTATTCGTCATCGTCAAAATTTGGAGAAAGATCCACCCGAACCACGACCAAATTCACGTCTGCTTCGCCAAACAATAACGAAAAATCAAGTACAGCGATGGTTGCGATCATGATGGATGGTGGTGACAGTTGATAGGCGTGATATTGATTTTCAACCATCTTCAGTTCCAGAATGGTACGGAGGCGCACGCAATCAGAAGATCTGACGAGGTACGCTTTTAAAGTCTCGATTTGATTCCCGACTTGCCCTGTGTTGTGCGCGAGCTATTAGAGAGCTCGCAAGGAGGATAATTCGGTTGCTGCCGTGCTGGATGTTACTTGCGAGGTACAAACCTTTGCTAGTAATAGCTCGAAAATTTAATAGATGTGAATACTAGTAAATAACATGAATAATGTTTTGTTACTAATTATTATTGCAACATCAGTAATATGACTTAATATGTCTCTTTTGTGATTGAGAAGTTTCGAAGCCGCGGATTCGCTGTTAGGTAAACTAACAAGTAGCAAAGGAGTTATTCTAACCTACTGACACACATTTTAAACAATGTCGGTGTAACCATTGAATCACAGTCATTGAGGGTTTTGTTCCAGTAACCATTAACGAGGAAGGATTAGCAGTAGTAGTACCGTTTTGAGATGCGCTAACACAATCGTTGTTCACGGTTGTTTGTTCGGAACGGTACTGGCGTTTTATATGTGGTGCCTATACATACAATGATTTGCAATAGCCAGCCGATGTACAGATCAGTAGAAGTGATTGTATCTTACCAGCTGGGCTCCCCCCACCATGCGTAACAAAAAAGAATGCAACTAACAAGATGTTTTTTTGCCTGTGCTCTTTCCTCGAGAAACTAGCTCCGTACTGTGGTTGGTTATGGGTTTATGCAAAAAAGGCGAAGGCGCCCCCCTCAGAGTCTGATTCGTCTGATTTGTTGAGCTTTGCACATTTTTGCCGTTGCTTGAGCTTTCCTGATACGAAATATGAAGCTCTACCATTGCACCGCAAATACTTGTGTCTGTTCCGCTTTCTGTGAGCGGGCTTTCCTAATTGTAAGCTCATATGTGCTCTGTTGGTCTTGCTGGAGGCGCCATACAACTCAGACTTAACCTGACTCCTTCAATGCTTCTTCATGTAATACCTATTTTCAGTACAGGTAGACAGACAGAAACGAATTCTCTTCATATAGTGCCGTGCATTTTTTTCATTAGTTAGGTCCACCTCATTGCAAACGCCATCTACTTTGAGGACTTCACTGCACATCTCCTATATCCTCTAGCATTTTTCTCCCATGTTTTAAAACAACTTTCAACCGAGCTATGAATTTTACGTGTTTGCCTCGAACACTCCACTCCTCGGAGATTTGGTCATTTCTTCTATCACCTCTAGCCACTTTTTCCCGCGTTCTAGATCGTTTTCAAAAAGCGTTGTATATATTTATGAAAAGTAGGATCCATTCGTACGCGAGCTTTTCGTTAAATTTTCGCGTGTCCAGCTCGCATAAGGCTTTGCGTTATCCTTTTTCTGGCCTGCACGCCTTCTTTGAATCGAGCGATGGACTTATGTGAAAATTCGCCTACTGCAAGAACGTTTCGCCCTCAGCGGGTGTCCTATTCATTTCACTTGCTACGTCATCTCAACCCTTGTCATTTTGCCCACGGCACCGCCCAATCCCATGCATGTCCCGCCCACAGTGGGCGGGTCTGAGCTCCCATGTGCTCTGCTGATCTTGCCCGATGCTCAACCTATCCAAACTTGACCCGACCTTTCCAGGTTTTCTACAAGCAATAACCAATTTCGGGCCAAAAATTAAAAACAAACAGGCAGACAGACGCGAGCACATTATAGATCTATTGTAAAGGTATTTTCTAGAGTATGGCACTAATTCAATAGATCCATTGAATGGAGGTGCCCTGAATTTCCGTTCCCGATTCCGAACAATTCCGACTTTCCGATCAAATCAATCAATACTATTGAATTTTTGAAAAAGCCTTTCCAAAATTTCATCAAGTTCAGTACTTTACACCAAGAAGCTGTTATTGCTCGCTTCTGGTTATCTCTGAGAGATTCCTGTTGGGAGACGGCGCTTCGAAATCCATTACCGACTTCATTTTCATATGCAAATGTGCACTCTATGGAAAAAGAGATCGCTTCCAAGAACACCTGCATTCATATGGATTTCATTTGAAGTGAAGCATCAAGTAATCCCCAAAATATTGCTTCCTGAAGTCACACTTTTCAGTTCCAGATTTACATTCCTTATTGCTCGAAATTGTTGTCCGTCAAACAGAACTTTTCTATAGATTTATACAATCCGACATTGTACCCATCAACAGTCACTTAACTGATTTTAATTTCCTTTTCTTGAAAAGAATGAATAAACTAGAAAATGTCAACATTCCAACCGATATTAGAAAAACCTTGTGGGAGGCATCACTCGAATTTGATGCTTCTCAATGATATTAAAGCTGTAGTGTGATGATTGTTTATTTGCCAGATACTAGTATGTACTCATTAGCGATCTTGTCGTTTTCATAGCCTGAACTCCCCAGAGAATCGGTATGTATGTTAAGTTTTCTGGTTTTCTGTCATGAGTGGTTGTGATGTCTCATTTGAGAGTTATCCCTGAAAATCTNAAAAAAACAAACTATTGTAAATATGAAGCAAACAGAACTGAGTTGCGGTCTCGTTTCTGCATTCTGACTGTTGTTTCTAGTTGAAATTCACGTTTGAGAATCTCCAACGGCATGTAAAACAGCTTATGCTAACATGCGATCGGATTAAAATCCAATTCACCACATTGCTCCCTTCACTGGTGCCGTCAGCCCGTCCTACCTTCATTCCTACCGGGTTAGTGTTTTCGAGAATGTCTGCTTGTCATACTGAATAACTATTATATAATTCTACTGCAAGGCTATCTTGCTGCTTCTCTTTTGCTCATGCTTCTCATTCCAATACGTTAGCCACTAATATTTTGATCGGCCATTTCTGTCTTCTGTAGCAGCTTCTTCTAATTACGTTTTCATGCTCTGAATCATGCACTAAGGGTATTCCTTTAGCCACGTGACAAATATCGTACAGGATTCTCCTCCAACTTGGAAACCATCATGGGAGAGCAAGGAGTCGAGCTAAAAGAATCACCTCCAGTGGTGAATTCTCACCCGCCATCTGAAGTCGAAGGGCAGGACCCTCCAGCTGTCCCTGTCCCTGCTGCTCACACAGCTCGCATGGCACGCATAGACAATATGCCTCGTGTTGGCCGACGAGTGAGCTCGATAGAAGCTGTCAAGGGAGCTCCACCACCGAAGCGCCAGTCTGTGGTCGTGTACGAGACGCCCGATTCGCCTCCTGCTCAGTAAGTTCCACCTAGCGATTTCTTTTTCGTTTTTTCGTTGTATATCGATGGAAGGAATGACTAAGGTTACCTAAGTTCTTGCTAATAGGTAGTAAACAACCCAAATGGCGAAAACGAACACACGTATGTGTTTGCCGGCGTAAGTTTCAGTGCCTGTCAAGGGTCATTAGTCCAAACTTCCGTCCATGACCACAACGGTAATGTCTTGTCCTTGCGTCGACTAATTGATCCGATATCTCTTACGTATCACTGTGTTCGCAATCGTAATCCACTCAGACCAACTTATTTCAGTTCCATTCATGACAGCTTTCCTTCCACCTCCTTCTATGTTGGATTTTCTCGAAATTCAAATTTTTTGAACAATTCAATCGTGGAAGAGACATAACCGACTTTGAACTGTAAGCATAAACCCGAGTACTTGGTCTTTGCAAGTTTATGCAATTCGCAGTCGCTCGAAGCCCATTCCATTTGTCCGAAGTTTCAATGCGATTATGTTGATGACTTTACGACACGCAGCAGAAAGTACCGCAACGATTGACCGGTCACGAGATCTCCTCCCAGCCAAGCAGCCTTATGTGGTTGGCGCTCTCTTCGATGATTGTTGTAGCCAATATTTTATGTAGACGGACTCGACCCTCTCAACCACTTCACTTATTTTTTTTTNTTTTTTTTTATAATTTCAGAGATAATGCCAAAAAAGGTGATCTATCGTAGTGTTGGGATGCTATAGCCTCAACCTCGTAGTTCGGTGAAACGATTTTGTTAGAGAAACACATTGGAACATTTGTATTCTGTACCATCACCTCCGTTATTTGAAATACTACCACCCATGTGGATGAGAAGAAAGTATTTCTGCCGAACTTCACTCAGAGAAAAATTTATGGTTATGACCACGGTGGGGCATTTATTCTCAGAGCCGCGCTCTTTGGCGTTTTCATCCGTAACCAATCTAACGACGTGATAAACTGTAATTTGTATGTTTCTATGAAGTGAGTGGGGGAATGGGAATTTATTTGAATGAGTCTTCTAGTCGTGATCAGAACCATCAACTCTCTATGTGATTGAATTTCAATCTCTGGGAGAGTTAATGGTCCTGATCATGTCTATGAGAAGAAATTTTCAGCCAAGTATAATAGTCCATTCACTATCTGTTGGGTTGTAATAGTTGAATAGTGCGGGCCGTATCATTGACTTATCATTTAGAGAACAATCAAGCTTTATGTTTTTACCAAACCAAGCTCCATCGATGAAAAACGAAGGTGAGAATGATCTGTGACCACCAGTTCTTTTGATTAACTCAGTTGTTTGATCGCTTCTCTTGTAACCGTGTGAGCATCTCAATGCAATCTGACTTTTCAGCAGTTCCTCTTCAGCATAATTTGGGTCATGAAGAAATATGAAAGATAACTCCTGACACCATGGCTCCAAGCCCTTCTGACACAAGTCTATAAAAGGGGCTGCTATTCCAGGCTCCAAACCAATTCTCCTAAATGGCTATATCAAATGAAAATGTGAAACACCTGCATATCCCAGATTCCAGGCCATTTCTTGCACATGACACTGACTTATGAGCGATGGAGTCATGGGGATTGTCTTGAAGTCGCCGCTATCCCGTTCATTGCGCAAGGGCCGAGCGGATATATCTGATCCTAATGATGGATTGATTAGGTAGATAACTATGGCCAGCGAAAACGAGTAAAGTAGACTAGTAAGTGAATTCAGAAGGGTGCTAAGCAGAAGTTTGGATATTTAAACAAGTTCATATGTATGGTAAGTGACTAAAAAATAATGCAAAGAAGAGATGTTTGAAGTGTGGCCATCACATCAAAACGAGCTTGTAATATTTGAAGGGGGGGGGGGCTGTCGTTTCAGTGGAAGTAACAGCGACAATCTTCTATTCTTAGACATTCCTATCGATTTTGCTTGAGTTGACAAAATTTTTGAAGGTTCTCGCCCATCATTATAAATCTGGTTTTCGAAAGCAAAAACGGTGATAAAGTTTGTGAATGGGCCACTTCCCTTCCTCCTTCTCTCCTGGTTTGAAATTTCATGAATTTTGAAAATTTTACATTCGAGCTATACCCTGATCTTGAATGTATTTTACCTTTCAATCAGACGTTTTGATAATTTATGAGTTTCTAATCGTCTCGCGTATGTATTATGCTATTTTCCAATGTTTCTCGAATGCCTCGCTCTGCGCGTTTTGCAAATTTCTCTATTACACTTGGTCAGTTAATCACTTCTAGAACAGCTCACATCCGATTTTTCTCAGAACACTCATTCCCAAACAGAACACTTGAGAGGAAATTGTGGGCTAAAACGGCTCTCTAGAATGAATGTTCACCATATGATGAATTTTCTGAAATTAATCCCGAATCCCTCATTCATCCGCATGTATTCGCTCATCAACGGTGAAACAACCACCCTGAAATTAGGTCTTCTCACACAAACATTTCAATTTCGAGAACTCAACTCTTGGAAGTTTCAGGTCATTTCGTTTCTCACTTATACGTTTCCTGACTTTGTCCTCTTCCTCGTCGAGTAGTCTCCCGGAAATTCCTGTGAGAGCTATCCATTACACTTTTTCAGTCATGATAGGCCTTATGTTAACAAATGCAAGCTTTGGGTGTTTTCGAAAGACATCTTGAAGCAGCAATATTGAGCGGTGTAGGGGAAAAAAGTCCGCTGAGGGGATCTCAAGGTATTTTTAATGCTGGGCCATATGTTGTTTCCCAAAAGTTGCTTGCTACCTGGGACGATCTCAAACGTACACGACTTGATGTTTCACGGTGGAGGGTTTAGATTCCTTTTCCTTGAATTTCTGAAGAAACTCTTTCCCATCATAAGAAGGTGTTTACATAATGTTAAATACATATTCAATCTGAAAAAAGAACGTGTAGACCAGTTTTGAGTGAGTGAGTTGGAAACTCTTACTTCGCTCTGACTTACTTGTTCAGCCGCTGGGGTGGTGGAGGATAGTCCAGCGTCTCGACCACCACAGGGTTAACTTTACAACTTGTTTCCCACTAGATAGGGTTAAGTTGACGTCAAAGTTCCTCTGTAAAAAACTGCAAACAGCTGGAAGACATTTCCGCAGCCGGCTCTCGAAAGCATACGTCAATTGGTTGCACATGGGTCACTTTGTCTCAGCATGCAAAGGTGGTGATATGGCACTTGAGGAGAGCTTCACAGCTGAGCTATAAACTCTACTACCGGGATTTATGTTCTTTCAAAAATTCTTGATGGCAGGCACCTCCTCCTGTATGCGAGCTCGAACGAGGGCGACGGATTAATCCATCGCGAACAGCCCCATTCCTGTAATTTTTATCAAAACTTTCAAAATGAGATTGCCCAAGGGCCAGAAGGTAGTTCTATTTTGGTAGTAATCCAGATGTATATGAAATCTACATTTATCTTCAAAGGCACAGCTCACGATAATTTTGAGGTACTCGTTTTTATCCGAAAAGTGGATGTATAGATTGGGAATAGATCATCGGTAGTGAAGTAAGCGAGAGAATTCGCCGATTTCAAGAAGAATATATGGCCCCTCAAAAGTGGAGAAAATAGAGGTTGAACGAGATTGCCATGACGGAAATAACATGGAAGGGATATTCGGACGAGATTTCAGTTATTGCAATTGCACAAAGAGCTGACTACATCTAGCCAGAACTGTACAGAATTGTCTTTCATTGTTGCCATGGATCATGGCAGATTGTTTGTACTTCCTACCTGGGTTCCCTTGTGATCGGTGCAGCCTCTACAATGCCGGTGAAACTCGTCCGAGGATATACACGGGCCAATCTTTGAGCCTTTATAACTCCCAAACCAGGCCGTTTTCCGACCTAATAGTGCCAGATATGGTTAAGCGGGGGCCTCAACTTCATCCTGAGAGAAATCTCAGAAAAAGTTTGTTGTGCACTGTGCCCTTAATTATTTAGCTTAATTCTAAGGAACAGTAGTACTTGAGTCTTCAGAGTTGAAAGCTGGGGCTGAGATGATTTGATAGGATCTGAGGAAACTTCAACTATAACATAAACAGACTTATTCTGAGCCCAGCGAAGCCTTCCGACTGCCGTTCTTTCTCGAGAAAAGTAATAAACAACACTAAACAACAAGAACGTCAGCAATGAAAGTTACCACAACTTCTACACTTTAACTTATCCTGAAGTATCTCTGAGCGTCCATTGAAAGTCCTCATCAATTTTTTTCAGAGAAGAATAGCTCGGATATATTCTAGCTTCATACTGATTCGTAATTCTGTGACTTTGAGAAGTGCGGTGTTGAGTTCGCGATTGAACAACCTAAAAAGCTCATTCTATTGTGCTGCGCAGTTGATTCATTTGCTTCAAACTAGCTGTAAATTTAGCTGTAGGTGTTCTTTCCTATCTGAATATTGTAGAATCGAAATTTAATTAACGATTTTCGAAAAGGTGTATTCCAAAATATGAAAAATTAAATGCCGCCAAGACGTATGAATTTTCATTCTAACAGGTTATAGCCTTCTCCTATTAATTAGTATTAGAGCCCAAATAAGTTGATTCCTTGGTGTCAAATCCCTCTAGGTTGGCTGGGCCTGCCATTCCATATTTCTCCTACATAGGCACATTCGAATCAAAGATGTACTGCAGGCTCAGTGTACGTTGTGAAGGTAAAGCAACTGTATGCCATGCTTTATACTTATGGTTACAGCTTACTCTTATACTAACTTATGATGCCTTTCTATTTGATAGTCTGCCGCACGTGTATACGCATCAACCATAAACTTCAATCCTTTATTTATTTATTTATTTATTTATTTATTTATTTATTTATTTATTTATTCGTGCGTGCCACTTCACGCGCCTCAACTAGTACAGAGAGAGCGATAACAGTCATCGTAAACAGCCAAAAGGGCTTAGTAACTATCGAAAATTTACGGATCACTAAAAATTGTAGTTGACAACAAGACATACTAAGGAGACCCCTCTACCCTGTAGTAGTCGGGTGACATCCAGGTCCACCACC